CTAATATATATATATATATATATATATATATATATATATAATTCTAGCTTACCATAAAAAGTAAATTCAAAATTTCGATGCCAAATTGGGGTTTTAAATTTTTTGTTGTGCATCAACACAAAATTTGTAACCTATAGCATTCAATACGCAATAAAAAAGAGAAAAACATTGTGGTCTTGATTCATGTTTTAACCCCTAATTTTTGGAAATTATCAATAAAATTTGTAAACCCCTTAAAAGTTTATAACTAAAGCCAAAACATAAATGACAATTTTTTTTAATAAAAAAAAGTTAAATAACTTAAATCAAGTGTAAAGAAACGGTTGATAATATTGCAATTTCTTTCATTAAAATTATATTAGTTACTCGGGAAAATTCTTATATGTCCATCCATGCATGGAATCAGGGAGAAGAATCAGGAAGAATACCATCTGTATCACAATTAACATCCAAGGATGACATCATAACAAGCAGCAAAACACAAGCTGGATGAGAAGTTTCTATTTCCAAATTCAATTCTGTCAAAAAGTGCATTCACCTGAACCAATCCTAACCATCGATATACCAGAAATTCATCAAACCCCTAACAATGTACCACGTAGGAACATCTCCCTTGCATTGGATAAAAAAAAAGCCTGACAACTTGTGGACCCAGGTCCACTTCTTTGATATTGTCGAAACAGTTTCCGTCACACTTATAAACCTCACGCAGTCAACCCCAACCCCACTACCCCTTGGAGTTAAAGTACCACAACCTCAAAACGCTGCCTCTCTATCCTTGTCTTTTCTGTAACCGTATATTTCTCGCTTCAAAAATGTCAAAAATATGTAAGCGCACCTCCATCCTCTCTCTCTCTCTCTTTTTCCGAGCAGAGTATTTTGTCTTTTTATGGCAGTTACAATGTGGCTGAGTTGGAGGGTTTTCACAGGGGGTTTTATAAGAGTTATTGTAATACCCCATATTTTCTTTTAATAAAATAATAATAATAATATAATAATAAATTTTTTGGATAATAATGATATTTAGTATTTTTGTAATTAATAATATTGGTATTTAATATTTTTAATTAATGAGTTAATAATAGTTAAAATAATAAGAGGTAGGTAAGATAATAATAATAGTATATATAAATTAGATGATATATCATGATTAATTGATTTATTAATTGATTGATGATTTATGTATTAATGTTTGATTGATGATTTATGTATTAATGTTTGATTGATGATTTAGATAAGATGAGTCAACAAACATAAATTGTTTAGATATGATGAGTCAGCATTGAGTCAATAGTGTATAAAGCCAAAATCTGAGCCAAATACATCAATAAAGAAAAAGGAAATAAATGCACGAAACCCATATCCGAGCCCAAAACTTCAACTATAAATAGAGACCTAACCTAACCAAACCAATTCACTCTGAATCCTCAATAATTCTCCACCACTCTTCTTCTCCTCTACACTTTCTCTTTCTCTCTCCTCACTTTAAATTTTTATTTTTATTATTATCTTTCTTTGGTTACCAACCGCTTCTCTTCCCCAAGTTGTAGAAGTCACCAAACACGGAGACCAGGTAATCCTAATCTCTAGGTGGTTGTAGATTCGTTGTGTATGAAATTTTATTGTGTGTATCCTAATCTTTAGGTAGTTATATGTTTTATTGTGTGTATCCTAATCTTTAGTTAGAAATTTATGAGATTTAAATAAATGCATAAGACATATTTCCTTTATTTAAACTTTAGTCTTTGGTTTTATTTTAATGTAATAAATTTAGCCTTGCACCTGTCCATTGTACAGGTGCGGCGGTAACATTCCCCAAATTAGATTTAGATTAGCTTTCGCAATATTTCTATTATTATAATTGTAAAAAAAAAAAGAATTTTGACAATTTATTTATTATAAGATTGTTTTATAAATTGTTAGAAATTTGGGGTGTTACAGTTATCTTAGGACCATTTTGTTTCACGTGAAAGATGTTGTTTTTTGGAGCATTGTTATTCATTAGTTGCATTGTAACTCAATTGCTGCATCTGTGTGGTCTTTATTTTGGCGCTTTCCCTGTAACCTAATCATTGCTTTTGTTTACCGTAAATGGCCATTTCCTGTCACTGTTTCATTCAATGAAAGTGATAACCTTAACTTCATCCTTCAATGACTTTTATTATTATTTTTATTTTGTTCTATTATCCATTCAGAACCAATGACATATATTGATATGGTTCATTTCTTCTCTATATGTCATTCCCATTCTCAACTGTTGACAGACACTCTTTCATTCTCTGGAATCTAACCATAAATGTTTGCTTGTTTTGTTGTTGTTCAAGATAAGATGAGCTTTTTAGCGAAGATGTTTTTGTTCATGAATCTGTGTGCCAAGCCAACCCCCGTTGATGGGGATGAAGATGACCGTGGGAACGGCACGCCGAACACAAAAGAAGCCGTCAAGGGTCTGACGTCGCAGGTCCTTAATACTCTCTCCCTCTCTCTCAACAAACATTGTTTTTTTCATCTTCTTTTTCCATCTTGGTTAAAACAAACAAAATCAAACCAATGTTTATGTTTACCTTCTTCTTTATTTTGCTTCCTTTATATTTGCTTATTAGTTTACCTTCTTCTTCATGCTCTTCCTTCTTCCTTATGATGCCTCTCCTAACTATTTCGAACCAAATGTTTCTAAATTGTGTGAAAAATTGGACAAGTAATATTTGGATAGAAATTACTGGAGATTTCTACAAATAGAAAATGCTTTCCATTGGGGGTACATAGTTGATAGTAGGATATATACATATATAGACTTTCACGTTCAAGGATGTTGTTGTCATCCACTTGCATGTATTCTCTACCAAGTACATTCTCCACTAGCCCAGCTGTAAAGGTATTGTATGATGCTTTGAAAATGACCTAAGCCTGAAACCTTAAGACTCCATGGTATGTATTAATTGTATGGTACATGATTAAGACTTTTAAATGCATTGATGCTAATTTGAATTTTTATTCTGCATATGCAGATTAAGGATCTGGCGCTGAAGCTTTCAGGGAAGAAAATCAAAGCTGGCAACCCCAAGAGCATCAAGTATGACACCGTTTCTGAAGGGGGATTCCACACGGCTACATTAGTGGTGGAAGCGCAAGTTCAACCCCTGCTTTGGACTACACAAACCCCAATCAATCCCCAATTGGTAACACCACCCCTGGAGGGCGTCAACCTCAACCACCAGCTGGTAGTGTAGCGATGGTGGACATGACTGGATCCAACAAGTGGATAGCAAAGATGGAGCCAGGTGCTCACATCACCGTTGTGTCTCTTCCTACTGGGGGCAATGATCTCAAAAGGATTCGCTTCTGGTATGTATAATATGTCCCAAGTTTTGAAAATATATGTAGTACCTTAGAGACCTTATATATATATATATATATATATATATATATATATATATATATATATATGAGAATTTTAGTTGTTGAAAAAAAAATTAATTATCATGTAGTAATAAAGACTTACAATACTTGTTATTCAAAAAAAAAAAAAAGACTTATAATACTTGGCATTTAAATTTGAAGCCGAGACATGTTTGATAAGCCGCGAGCCCAGAGGTTGTGGGCTGAGAATTACGACAGGATCAGGGAGCTTCATAATATCCAGAATTTAAATCAACATGTTTTCAACACTCCTGCAAGGTCTGATGATGATGAGGTAATCTACAACTTTTACACACACACGTAGACCTACATATAGCCTACATACACACACTCATATGATGTTTTTTTATATAAAATATACATCATACGGATGCCTTGTTATCTAGGCGGGGATTGTTTTGGTTTAGGATGACGTAACTCTGTGTGTGTTGTGTTTTGTCCACTTTTTTGTGTACAAGGATGGTCCACTTCCTCTCACGGATTGGATTGGTCCATTTATTGGTTTATTTATATGCATGAGGTGGTTCTGTGGTTCTGACCTGAAGTGACCATCATGATCAACCAATCAAGCCGGTCCTAATCCCTTTGTTCTTTTTATAGTTATAAATTAGGGAACCAACTTTTCAAGTGGGTTCTTACGACTCTTCTCTTTTTAGCCACTTATAATTGCACATGAGATTATTCACTTACCATCATTATCCTGTTTTTCAAAAGTTTTCTATTATGTGTCGATGCAAATTATATGATTTAGTATGGCAGGAAAGTATATAGTTGGTGTGGCCAGGTATGGATTGCATTTATGGCAGAAGCATGTTTATATTTATAAGCAACTATTTGTTTTTACACCATTATTCCATTATCCACGAGCCTCTTTATTTTGCTTCTTTTATATTTGCTTATTAGTTTACCTTCTTCTTCATGCTCTTCCTTCTTCCTTATGATGCCTCTCCTAACTATTTCGAACCAAATGTTTCTAAATTGTGTGAAAAATTGGACAAGTAATATTTGGATAGATATTACTGGAGATTTCTACAAATAGAAAATGCTTTCCATTGGGGGTACATAGTTGATAGTAGGATATATACATATATAGACTTTCACGTTCAAGGATGTTGTTGTCATCCACTTGCTTGTATTCTCTACCAAGTACATTCTCCACTAGCCCAGCTTTAAAGGTATTGTATGATGCTTTGAAAATGACCCAAGCCTGAAACCTTAAGACTCCATGGTATGTATTAATTGTATGGTACATGATTAAAACTTTTAAATGCATTGATGCTAATTTGAATTTTTATTCTGCATATGCAGATTAAGGATCTGGCGCTGAAGCTTTCAGGGAAGAAAATCAAAGGTGGCACCTCCGAGAGCATCAAGTATGACACCGTTTCTGAAGGGGGGTTCCACACGGCTACATTGGTGGTGGAAGCGCAAGTTCAACCCCTGCTTTGGACTACACAAACCCCAATCAATCCCCAATTGGTAACACCACCCCTGGACGGCGTCAACCTCAACCACCAGCTGGTAGTGTAGCGTTGGTGGAAGGATTCGCTTCTGGTATATATATGAAGCTCTCTAAGGCACTACATCCTTTTGAAATCATTGCCCCCAGTAGGAAGAGACACAACGGTGATGTGAACACCTGGCTCCATCTGTGCTATCCACTCGTTGGATCCAGTCATGTCCACCAACGCTACACTACCAGCTGGTGGTTGAGGTTGACGCCGTCCAGGGGTGGTGTTACCAATTGGGGATTGATTGGGGTTTGTGTAGTCCAAAGCAGGGGTTGAACTTGCGCTTCCACCACCAATGTAGCCGTGTGGAACCCCCCTTCAGAAACGGTGTCATACTTGATGCTCTCGGAGGTGCCACCTTTGATTTTCTTCCCTGAAAGCTTCAGCGCCAGATCCTTAATCTGCATATGCAGAATAAAAATTCAAATTAGCATCAATGCATTTAAAAGTTTTAATCATGTACCATACAATTAATACATACCATGGAGTCTTAAGGTTTCAGGCTTGGGTCATTTTCAAAGCATCATACAATACCTTTAAAGCTGGGCTAGTGGAGAATGTACTTGGTAGAGAATACATGCAAGTGGATGACAACAACATCCTTGAACGTGAAAGTCTATATATGTATATATCCTACTATCAACTATGTACCCCCAATGGAAAGCATTTTCTATTTGTAGAAATCTCCAGTAATATCTATCCAAATATTACTTGTCCAATTTTTCACACAATTTAGAAACATTTGGTTCGAAATAGTTAGGAGAGGCATCATAAGGAAGAAGGAAGAGCATGAAGAAGAAGGTAAACTAATAAGCAAATATAAAAGAAGCAAAATAAAGAGGCTCGTGGATAATGGAATAATGGTGTAAAAACAAATAGTTGCTTATAAATATAAACATGCTTCTGCCATAAATGCAATCCATACCTGGCCACACCAACTATATACTTTCCTGCCATACTAAATCATATAATTTGCATCGACACATAATAGAAAACTTTTGAAAAACAGGATAATGATGGTAAGTGAATAATCTCATGTGCAATTATAAGTGGCTAAAAAGAGAAGAGTCGTAAGAACCCACTTGAAAAGTTGGTTCCCTAATTTATAACTATAAAAAGAACAAAGGGATTAGGACCGGCTTGATTGGTTGATCATGATGGTCACTTCAGGTCAGAACCACGGAACCACCTCATGCATATAAATAAACCAATAAATGGACCAATCCAATCCGTGAGAGGAAGTGGACCATCCTTGTACACAAAAAAGTGGACAAAACACAACACACACAGAGTTACGTCATCCTAAACCAAAACAATCCCCGCCTAGATAACAAGGCATCCGTATGATGTATATTTTATATAAAAAAACATCATATGAGTGTGTGTATGTAGGCTATATGTAGGTCTACGTGTGTGTGTAAAAGTTGTAGATTACCTCATCATCATCAGACCTTGCAGGAGTGTTGAAAACATGTTGATTTAAATTCTGGATATTATGAAGCTCCCTGATCCTGTCGTAATTCTCAGCCCACAACCTCTGGGCTCGCGGCTTATCAAACATGTCTCGGCTTCAAATTTAAATGCCAAGTATTATAAGTATTTCTTTTTTTTTGAATAACAAGTATTGTAAGTCTTTATTACTACATGATAATTAATTTTTTTTTCAACAACTAAAATTCTCATATATATATATATATATATATATATATATATATATATATATATATATATATATTTGAAGGTCTCTAAGGTACTACATATATTTTCAAAACTTGGGACATATTATACATACCAGAAGCGAATCCTTTTGAGATCATTGCCCCCAGTAGGAAGAGACACAACGGTGATGTGAGCACCTGGCTCCATCTTTGCTATCCACTTGTTGGATCCAGTCATGTCCACCATCGCTACACTACCAGCTGGTGGTTGAGGTTGACGCCCTCCAGGGGTGGTGTTACCAATTGGGGATTGATTGGGGTTTGTGTAGTCCAAAGCAGGGGTTGAACTTGCGCTTCCACCACCAATGTAGCTGTGTGGAACCCCTCTTCAGAAACGGTGTCATACTTGTTGCTCTCGGAGGTGCCACCTTTGATTTTCTTCCCTGAAAGCTTCAGCGCCAGATCCTTAATCTGCATATGCAGAATAAAAATTCAAATTAGCATCAATGCATTTAAAAGTCTTAATCATGTACCATACAATTAATACATACCATGGAGTCTTAAGGTTTCAGGCTTAGGTCATTTTCAAAGCATCATACAATACCTTTACAGCTGGGCTAGTGGAGAATGTACTTGGTAGAGAATACATGCAAGTGGATGACAACAACATCCTTGAACGTGAAAGTCTATATATGTATATATCCTACTATCAACTATGTACCCCCAATGGAAAGCATTTTCTATTTTGATTTTGTAATTTTTATCCAAATATTACTTGAATTTTTCACACAATTTAGAAACATTTGGTTCGAAATAGTTAGGAGAGTATTAAGGAGAAGAAGAAGGTAAACTAATAAGACGTGAAGACATTTGGTTTGATTTTGTTTGTTTTAAGCCTTGAAGGACGGTAAACTAACCAAGATTTGTGTTCGGCGTGCCGTTCCCATGGTCATCTTCATCCCCATCAACGGGGGTTGGCTTGGCACACAGATTCATGAACTAAAACATCTTCGTTAAAAAGCTCATATTATCTTGAACAACAACAAAACAAGCAAACATTTATGTTTAGATTCCAGAGAATGAAAGAGTGTTTGTCAACAGTTGAGAATGGGAATGACATATAGAGAAGAAATGAACCATATCAATATATGTCATTGGTTCAGAATGGATAATAGAACAAAATAAAAATAATAATAAAAGTCATTGAAGGATGAAGTTAAGGTTATCACTTTCAATGAATGAAACAGTGACAGGAAATGGCCATTTACGTTAAACAAAAGCAATGATTAGGTTACAGGGAAAGCGCCAAAATAAAGACCACACAGATGCAACAATTGAGTTACAATACAACTAATAAATAACAATGCTCCAAAAAACAACATCTTTCACGTGAAACAAAATGGTCCTAAGATAACTGTAACACCCCAAATTTCTAACAATTTATAAAACAACCTTATAATAAATAAATTGTCAATTTTTTTTTTTTACAATTATAATAATAGAAATATTGCGAAAGCTAATCTAAATCTAATTTGGGGAATGTTACCGCCGCACCTGTACAATGGACAAGTGCAAGGCTAAATTTATTACATTAAAATAAAACCAAAGACTAAAGTTTAAATAAAGGAAATATGTCTTATGCATTTATTTAAATCTCATAAATTTCTAACTAAAGATTAGGATACACACAATAAAACATATAAGTACCTAAAGATTAGGATACACACAATAAAATTTCATACACAACGAATCTACAACCACCTAGAGATTAGGATTACCTGGTCTCCGTGTTTGGTGACTTCTACAATTTGGGGAAGAGAAGAGGTTGGTAACCAAAGAAAGATAATAATAAAAATAAAAATTTAAAGTGAAGAGAGAGAAAGAGAAAGTGTAGAAGACAAGAAGAGTGGTGGAGAATTATTGAGGATTCAGAGTGAATTGGTTTGGTTAGGTTAGGTCTCTATTTATAGTTGAAGTTTTGGGCTCGGATATGGGTTTCGTTCATTTATTTCCTTTTTCTTTATTGATGTATTTGGCTCAGATTTTGGCTTTATACACTATTGACTCAATGCTGACTCATCATATCTAAACAATTTATGTTTGTTGACTCATCTTATCTAAATCATCAATCAAACATTAATACATAAATCATCAATCAAACATTAATACAT